AATTGAAATCCCCTCCCCCATTTTTTGGATTTATTTGTTTCGATGGTCTTGTGACCAAGAAACATTTTTTAAAACTCCACATAGCCACAATAACTAGATAAATAAAACAAAATTCCCAGATCCTTTGAAAACAGATTAACTGAAAGGGTAAGTAGCTTCTACTTTTTCATTTTAATTTATTATGGTTTCAGGTTGACTCTGCAATTCTCTTCTTTCATGGGGTCACCTGTGTTTTCACTATTTCCCTTGAATTTTGCACCAAGTACTCCTATTTACTTCCAAACAGCATCTAACAAATCCCTACATGGAAACATAAAAATACCTGGGAGATACACAATAGATGGACTCAGAATAAATTCCTTCCAAAGTCATTTTATGACTGCCTGCATCATGACTCATGGGTCAGAGTGGAGCATGGTTAAGGTCTGTAAGTCACTCAGTAAACTACCTGGGCTATTGAACTGTCCAGTTTTGCCACAACTGTTTTCAATTGTTGGGACCGAGTGTTTTCTTTTCTATTAAGGGGCATTAGCAGCCACTGATAATGAAAGCCAGGGCCCACCAGAAATAGACTGGAGGAAATTTCCTGACTCACTTGCATAGCAACAATTCATCAGCACTGGAGATATATGAAGTGTGACTGCGGAGTAATGCGGGTGATTAGGCTTCTCCACACGGCGGAACTCTTACATATGAATGAGTGTTGTTCCTTCAGGCGAGTCCTCAGAGAACCTGTACACTTACTCCAGGATGTGATTTGTCTGGAAACACTTTTGGATCTCCCCTCAGGGGAGAATATTCTTTTGAGCATCCTTAATAGTGACAAACTTTGTCCTTTGAGGGTAAATCTGATTTTTGGAAATGGTACAATGTATGCATAGTGGACATCTGTTGCTTTTTGTCTACCCAAAAATCTTTTCCCTAACTAATAGCTAGAGAGACTGCATTTTTTCTATTCTTCATCCTGTTTTTGAAGGCTCTGAAGGAGAAATTGTTTCAAAAGTGTCTTGCTAAATGATCACACTTTCTCCATTTTGGTGAAGGAATCCATATTTACTTTGGGTGACTACTTCCCCCAGTAGGGCTAAGTTGTTTGGGTGAGCTGACTTGACCACTCAATTCTAGAATTTGAGTGTTGGGATTCAGAGTGATTAGATAAAGTCCTGGTTTGTGCTTCTAGATCCAGATGTACATGGAGCAAAAACTATCCCAGATTTGAACTCTTGGAAAGAGACTTTCTCATTCTGCTGTGATGCAAGCATGAAACTGCTGGCCACCGCCTTGCTGCTACAAGGGCAGAGCCTGCCTAACTATGGAGTCAATGCAAAAGGAAGCTGATTTGAGAAATGAGCAACAATACACACGTATGTGCACATATGTAAACATCTGTAGAAGCAGAAAGATCAAGTCCTGGTGTGTGTTTCTGGATCCAGATGTACCGGGAGCAAAAACTATCCTGGGACTCTTTTGTGTCACAAGTCAATGAAATCTCTTTTGCCTGGTAAGTTTGATTTGCGTTTCTGCCTTACAACCAAGTGAGTCCTAATGAATCCAGTAGAACAGAGCCAGGTCTGGTGAATGAATTAACTCACCAAGCGAGGAGTAAGAAGGCCCCAAGACACTGATGACAAATTTCTACTCGAGAAACATTCATTGAGCATGGGCTAAGTATCAGGCCTAAGAGTCGCACTGCTGAAATAAACTAGTCAGTTCAGGATGGCAGGGTGAGCTCAGCCCACAAGGGACTGCTTTTCTTTCTTTGTTCACATAGAATCAGGGGCCATTCCCAAGGAGGAGCTAGTGGCAGGGATGTCTTTGGCTAAGACAGCACTCCTCAGTGTTGTCAGAGAATGGTTGTTAGTTCCCCAAGGTGACAAAATTTTTAAGACAAAAATTATTTAAGGTTATGAATTCTGGGTTTTTAAAAATAGACTTCTATTTTCCCTCTGTGGTCATAGCTCCTATGCAACATGAGAACACAGAAATTTCTATGTAAGAGAGCAAGGACAGGATGTTTCGCGAGATGGCTAGCACATAGCACATACAATTATTTCAGCTTGGGGAAGGACTCCTGACTGGGGCGAGACCTTACATTGGAGTGGGAGGGGCAGTGAGGCCGGAAAAAGTTAACTCTCTCACCAGTTCTCAATCTAATTTTCTTAGCAGCATTTCTATCGTTTGAGATTCCTCCTTATGTCAGTATTTTTGCTCTATTCTTATAGGATGAAAAGTCCTGAATAATCTAATGTGATTTTTCTCTGAAATGAGTAAAGTGAGATTTCTTTGGTTGCAAGATGTGTGATCCACTCAGGTAAAAATAAGTGAATTTATTGCAGGGCTCTCGGGCCAGCAGCTCTCTTCATCCACTTATGGGCCCCATGCCCTCCCCTGCTGCTTGCATCTCTGCTCACCTCTGCATCTGCTATCTGTACCCATTCGCTTCTCTCTCTACCACCCTGCTCACTCACGGTTCCTACTTCCCCATCACTTCAGCCCCTGCAGACACAGCCTTCATGATCATGGCTCTTCCAAGTTCAGCTCCCAACTTCGACTGGAAAATTCCTTCCATGTTGCTCAGTCACATTCCTGAGAGGGACAGACTGATCAGTCCAGTTTGTGATTTTTGGGCCAGATTATTCAGAACTGGCAAGCTACGGGACAGCTGTGATCAGGATGGATTATGTCACGTGGAGCCAAATGAGAGCACCAAAGAAGCAGGAAAACAGGGGTGTGGGTGAGTGGGAAGGGTTCCCCGGCCAGCTTGCCGATGAGCCTGCTCCGTGTGCCTGTGTCTTTTCCCATAGGCCCTGGTGGAAACAGACTCTGGAGAGAGCTTAGTAGCTGTCATTTTTACGTCACAGGAATGTTCCTATTTCCAGTGATACCAACTCTTGAAATTTTTAAAGATTTGTAATAAGGCATAAAAAATGTCATCTCTTCTTCAGTAAGCCAGAAAGTAAAAGAAACCATGATCAGAAGAAGCAACAAGCGGTAGCAGCAGGTGGGGCACTGGCAAGCTAGTCTGTGGGGGGCAAACAGAAAATAAAGGGACTATCTGGAGAACAAGTTTGAGACTAAGAAATAGGCCCCCAGGACAGCCTTTCAATACTGTGCCCCAGGCCCACAGCTGCCCCATGTTCTACCCTCCTCTGCCCGGTCACAACCTGGACCTGCATTAGGTCCCACAGAGCAATACTTTACTTACCCTATTGCTTAAATAGGCTAGTCTGGGAAATTTGCTACCATTTATGACCTTGCTCCTATAGAAAAATGCATCCTCAGGGTTGAAGAACTAACTGACTTACAAATGGACTTGTGGAACATAATTGCTGCTAAATTTGGGAACTGCTTATAAATAGATATTTGGGACTTTCACTTGGGAGCCAATAATCACTAGAGAATCAACAGCTCTCAGCAGGAAGCTTCCGCTGGCCTTTCCCACATTCTACTTTGTTCCCAGGAAGACAGGCTAACAGGGTTTAATCAGGTTTAAAGAAGTGACTTTAACCATGAGCTGAGAGAGATTTTCATGGTTTCCTGTAAGGGGATTAAAAGTAATTCCAAATATTGGGGCCAAAGTGATAAAGGAGGGGGAGCCACTCTTTTGGGAGAGAAAAGGCAGCCATATCTCTGCCCCTTCTGCTTCTTTCTAACTTCCAGGAGGGGTAGAGAGGCAACCTTTCCGTCTTTCCCTTACTCCTTTCTGCGTCCCCCTCCCCCAAGAGGCTAGTTATGTCGGAAGGGCCAGGGCTGTGCTGGCTAGTAAAGAATGTGTTAGGTAGCTTTAGGCCAAAAGAGCTCAAATTTAAATATGATCAGAAACACCTGGTGAGGTGGTAAATAATCCAGACCCTCTCCTGGAATTTGGTCAGCAGGGGTATGTGCCCAGGAACTTGTATTTTTAAACAAGTACCCTGATTCTGGTGCAGTTAGTTCATGTATCATATTTGAGAAGGAAAGCCTGGACCCTGGGGAAGAATCTGGTTCTCTTGCAAAAATAAGGTGTGTGTGTCTGTGTGTGTGTGTACACTTGCCCTGTGTTAGTTCTGGGCTCTGGGAGAGTCTCTTGCCCAAGCTAAAGGATTTACTCTTCCCTGGCTCAGAAGAGCTCAACATTTGAATTTGGGCCAAGGCTAAGTGAGTAATAGGTCCCACTAGTTACGCCATTGACCTCTGAGCCAGAACTTCCTGGGTAGAGCAGTGGTTATTGTACATTAGAACTACCTGGGGAACTTTAAAAAATACTGATGCCTGGGCCCCCCTTCCAGAGAGTCTGATTTCATTGGTTTGGGTATGGTTTGGACATTTAGGATTTTTTAAAGCTCCTTGAATATTTCCAGTGTTCAGGTGAAGTCAAGAACTGTTGTGGTAGGGAAAACGACTTTTGTTTGCCTGGAGCCCTGGCTAAAAACAATCTTACTATTACCTCTTTAACATGATGGACACCATAGAAGAAATCTTGCTATTTGCATTTCTGCAAGGCAAAACAAAAAATATCAACCATATATAAGATAATATTTTGAATAGTGGCTACCTGTGAACATAGTCAGGATAATGACAATATAGGGCGTCCCTTCAAACTGCATACAGGTACATTTTCTGAGAGCTCAATTGGTGTTTCTTTTCAGGTTTAACCCTTTGGAATTAATAATTATTCAAAGTGTGTATACATTTTTGGGGGGCACCCTGTATTGTTAGTATGATTTCTTTTGTCCTTTGGCTAGAAAGAAAGGAGTGGTATGATATAACTCAGAATTCTTTAAATATTCAGAGATAAAGTCAATTGCAACAATACTCATAGACTTTAAAAGCTTTCCCTAAAGAAAAGTGTTAAACCTTTATGCTTTCCTTTTCTTTTCTGAGACCTAGCTGATCAGATTCATAGTTGATATAGGTACAATACTTCAAGAATATCTATTGCTAGAAATAGGTGAATGAATTTAACAGCAAATGTTCTCAGTGGCCTATAGCTTTTGAACAAATGAACTTCTGAATTCTGATCACTAGAGGAACAACGACTTTATTAGATCTGTTATATTCTGATACGTTCACACAAGTTTAGTGACTAGTTTAAGCTGTTTGAGAAAATTAAACTTATCTCTTGTCTAAATCCAGTGCGATTTTGTATTTAAGGATGATGGCTTTTATCTCAGAAGCAGGCTCCATGGGACTATGTCTGAGCTAGGTTGGATTCCTGCTGAAAAGTTTACGAGACTGTAAGCATGTGTTCAAATTAAGAGTTCCCAACCGGGGCTTCTCGGACAGAGAAATTCAAGGAATTTGGGGAGGTTCCCATACTCTCGGAAACTGTTTATGTAACTTTAAATGTATACACTTGGTTCTATTTTCCTAGGAAGAGGTTCATAGCTTTTATCAGCTTTTCAAAGGGCTTATAACCACAGAAAGTTAGGAGCCAGAGCTGTATATACTTAAATCGAGAATCCTCCACTCTAGTCCCCTTCAACACAGTGTGCTATTGAGAACAGGGTACAGAAAAGGAAAACTAATAACATTTCGCCTTGGTCTTCAGCCCTACTCTCCTCTGGGCCAGGATTATAGATGTTCCTGTGATGTACGGACAGCCATCATGTTTTAGCTCACGTTGATTTGCTATAAATGAACATCAGAGGGATCAGCAGTGGGGGGGAATCTGGCTTTTGGCTCTTTTGCTGCAGCTTCCACGCCATTCGAGGACGAGTGGGCAGTTGTGACCAGCCAGGAACAATTGATAGTGGCCAAGGGATAGTTGGTGCAGTTTTCTGATTGTAGAGCAGAAAGTAAATTTGATATTTTCCCAGCTGTTCCCACACCTAATTAGATGGTGTCAACTTGAGGTGGTCATTGTCAAAGGCTGCAAATGCAGTAAAGGTGGAGCTACCTTTAATTACACTCAACATGGGAAATTGTGGCTTTTCTCAAGTGGTATAAAGGGTAATGACTTGATAAAAAAATTACTTTAAATAGAAAGTTTCTCAAAATTTATTCAACTTACGAATATTAATTCTAATTCCTTTTTGGGAATAAAGTTTTATTCTAGGTGAGTGACATTTGGCCTCATTACTGGGAGGAATGTGATTTTTATTAAAACAGTATTTTCAAGTAAAATTTAGATAATATTATATAGTATTACCTTTTCAAAACATTAGTGTAGGACAGATAGGTAAATTTTCCCCTGGTGTGGGAAATGCAGTATGTGAAGTTAACTTTTCATTATTATGGCTAATTCCAAAATATATGATCAGTACACAGTAGTTTTCATGGGGATTTAAGGAGTGTCAAATACTTTTGTACATATTTAGATATAAGGCTGGAGTATCTTTTTTTTTTGTAAACTTAAAGTAATTATAATAGTCTTTCAAGAAAGTTAGTTTGCATTTGTCTAAACAAGAAGTAAAAGGAACCTTATTTAAAATCGAGAAAATTGTTTTCTTTAATTTGAACTATTGGACTAAATGCAAGTTAATCCTTTTCATGTTATAAATATGGTAATACCTACAAGTGCTGCCATTTTTAACTTCGAGTGACCACCAACCATCTAAAATTTAGTGTATTTGCTTTTGGTTTTCTAATCATTTGTTTGACCCAAGCCCTTTTCGAAGAGAGATGGCAATGTCTATCCCTTCTTTAAAGAAGATTCCAGTGATTAAACTTAAAAATAACAATAGGTTGAGCTACTGGTGGCTTAGGCTCTTGAATAACAATAAAGGCAGCTAAAGATTCCTTCTCTCTAATGCATGAGAAATTAATTAAATGCAAACATTGCTAAATGCTAATGATTTCTCAAAATGTTTCAACTTTTAAAATGCCAATAACGTTCTCCATTTTAGATATATGACTGTAATGGCAAAAATAAAAACAAATCAATTCAAGTGATTTATTTGCAAATTATAAATGAACATGACTGACTGCAGGACTCATAAAAATTGGATATGAATTCTTCTTGAGAAATTCTTGAGGATTTTATTGTAGGTGATATATTTATCCCCATGTGGAAGAGTGTGGGTTTTAAAAAATTATCACAATAGGGTTTTAAAAAAGTTATCACAATAGCATTTTAAGCCACATTAAATTTTTTTAGCATTTTCATACCATTACCACTTCAAGATCTTTGATAGTGAGATGTTCAAATAAAGTTCCCACTGGGGTGTTGGATTACAGCTAGTAGAGCATAAGCTCTCTTAGCTTATAAAGCTCAGGAAGAAATTCTGACCCTTGAATATTTTTAAAAGAAATCCGTATTTTTTATTTAATCCCAATCCATGTCTTTTATTTAATGAAAATTGTTATCATGCTTTCCCCCCAGTCCTAGCTGATGTTCTTTTGGGGAATGCTACCTGCCCATTCTTTGAAACAACATATATAATGTAGCAAGTCACATGTCAACCAGGCCTTAGGTTGGAGCCAGCCCTGGAAAATATTTTTCAAGCCACCCTGTCTCCATCCTTTCATTCTGAGGTAGAACTATTGTGAGTGTGATGAGAAAACAGCAACAAGTGGGACGTTGGGTCCTATAAGGGTCTAACTGCTCTCAGATTCTGTGAATGGAATGGGTGGGGAGAATTAGTACAACCTTCAGGTATTAGCTATAGGTGCTAAAGCCTCTGACAACCTCCTTCAATGAGCTTCCTACTGTTAGAGTCTAGCCCCTGCCAACTTCTGGTAGTTGGAACCTGGCCTTGCTAGTGATAGCCACAAAGGGCTGTGAGGCTCAGCTGATCATCACTGGGTGGGGAAGTGTCAGGATCGCTGTAGATCTGAGTCAGGGCTAAACTCAGGATTTCTTTCTTCTCTTTGTAAAACCGTAGTTCTTGTCCTGCTTTCCTGGCTTCCTCCAGCTCCCTCAGAGCTATTCGTAGCTCTTGAGAGAGAATTCCTGGTGACTCCCGCTCCTTCATGATCCAGTCCAGGGCCATGTGGCTGCGCATCTTTTCATCCAGCGAATACTGGGAATAGTAGGAGATGACTTCCTGGGGGCCAAGAAACAAAGTCCAGAGTGTCAGTAAAGAGCAACAAAGGCACAGGTGTTCATAGCCCTCCAATGCCTCTTTCCCTCTGCCTCCACCCCTACCCACATCCATGAGGGTTTTACCAACAAGGAAATCTCTTTGATGTTCACAAACTGAAGCTAAATCCCATGACTTACTTCTTAGAAAAAATGAAGGACTAAGCTGGTAGAGCAAAGTAAAGTTGCTCCAAGTTGAATCAAAACACTAACAGGGGAAGACTCGATAATGTTCACAAAATAGAGGTCTGACCTCACTAGAAAATGTGTTGTTCACTTAAGGAAGATGACAACCCAAATCACTCACAGAAACAACAGAAATGACTTTTAAAACATATTATGGAATGTAGGCATTTCCATTATTGATGTCATAATGGTACCTTCATGTACATGGTCTCTTACTTCTGTAAACAATGAAAAATTTGTCACTACCTGTCAATTTTCATGTGAAAAATTTGCTCATACATTGTAACGACATGTGTAGGTTTGATGGAGACACTTTAAGAAGATCTTGTGAAGTGGATGCATTGCTTATTTTTATTTTCAGGAACATATGGTATTTATTTATGACCTTAACAAATTAAAAACAATCATGGAAAAGTGTTTATAACGAACCCTGGATATTTCAAAGGCCTTTTATAAAATCAAAGGAAAAGAAAAAATAACCAAAGCCATTGTCAGCTACTCATTTCTTTTCCATCCTTGACATTTTGAAAGCCAGACTTTCTACGCAAGAACAACTAAAAGCTCCTGGGGCTGCAGTGCATGGAAACGCTTACATCCACCTCATCTTGCTGACGAGTAGAGGCTTTGTTCCTCGTACAAGTTCCTGTTAGCAAACTCTCAAAAATAAACTACCATCTTTCAAAGTCTAACATTGGGTAAAGGAAAGATAAATCTTGGAGGACAGTGGGTGAAAACCATTAAATACATAGGAAGGGGGTTGCCTTTGCGTTTAACAAAAGGAGGAAGAGTGCTTCTCAAAGGTAGCAAAGAAATAGTGAGACTCTATCTCTGAAAAATAAAGAAGAAACTTCCAAACCAAAAAACTGGGGTGATTGAATGCTAGCTTGCCCAGTTCAATAATCATTTATGTTGACCACTGGGGACTTTTGGGGGTGGTGAGAAAAAAATCCTCCTGCTATAGTCAACTTACCTCTTCTCACGGAGGGGGTTCCCAGGCAGTGCACTCTCACGTTTCCTTCAGCACAGGAGAGTGGAGGGGGGCACACATTCTAAGCAGGCAGGGCAGGTACAGAGTGTATTCTGAATTTGCCTTAGAAATCAAGCCTGTCTTAATGATCCCTTTGTTTGGGCACTCAGTACAAGTATGTAAATCAGTCTTATGCCCAGCTAATGTTCTTAGTATGCATATTTGGTCAGCACCTGACTCAACTGGATTGTTATATGTATAATTTATATTTGTTCATGTGTCCTCTTACTCAATAAATAAAGTAGCAAATTTCAACAAGGAAAAGATCCAAATAAAGGAAATCTCCTAGGAAGATCACTGGTCATCTGCCCTGTCCATACAACACAAACCCATTCTGGATGGTAAAATCTCACCTGTCGGGAGCACTTTGTTTCACGAAGGGCTTTTAGGCTTCCATTCCAGTGTAATAGTTGGAAAATGGTCATCAGCTCCTACAAAAATCCCAAACACCTGTCATTAGCCTCAAAGCAGAAATGTGACAAAAAGTGCCTCAGCGAGAGCTGAACAGGGTGTAATTCTGACCCCCAACTATGTCAGGGAAATAGAATATCGTCAGAACACTTTGAGACTTTTCAAACTCTAGAGCCCCAGGCTTCTGGAGTATTCTTCCCTCTCTCCCCTGCTATATCCATATTTGCACAATAAAATGACTAAGTAATTGATAAATATCTTTTAATGTTAACAATTATCTAAATAGGCCAGTGCATCTAAGAATAATGCATAGGCATTATATCATTTTTGAAAGTGCCTGAGACTGGAAATACTTTCCTTTTTTTTAAAAAAAGTTATCTTTATTGTTGAAAGTATTACAGATGTCCCCCTATTTCCCCCATTGATCCCCTCCACCCCGCATCAACCTCACCCCCAGGACTTCCCTGTACCAATGTCCATGGGTTATGCATATAAACATATAAGTTCTTCGATTAATCTCTCCCCACCCACTCCCCCACCCCCGCCTTCCCTCTGAGATCCCTCAGTCTGTTCTATTCTCCAGTGTCTCTGGATCTCTTTTGTTCATCAGTTTATTTTGTTCATTAAATGAGACTGGACATATTTTAAATGTTCATTTTTAAAGGAATGGTTAAATGAAGTGTGATATTGAAGGGATAATCAATATACTTTGGTATATTGATTATTTTGAGCTGGAGGCACTTGAAAAACAGCAAATGCAGAAAGAGGCTTTCTCTGAACTCCTCTTATCTGTCTACAGACACATCCTCCAAAAGGCACTGTATTGTCATAAATCCACTCCTGGGGAGTTTCATCAACCAGGGAAGACTGACTTGTCACAGAAGAGGAAACTGGAAGCCTACACCACACCCGGATAAATTTTGTCACAAACGATCATCTCTCCCATTTCTTCTAAGGGCCCATTTATCTTTCTTAAAAATCATTTACTTTCCCCTAAGAGGCCTATATCCCCTTTTGGCTTTCCCCTTTCCCTATTACAATGGTATTTAATCCTGAATTCTACACCCCCTCAGCAGGTACTCATTTTCCCTAGTATCTTATGGATACATGAGGTATAAGTATCAATAAACATGTTTTTCTCTTGCTAATCTGTCTTTTATTGAAAGAGTCTTAGCCGAGAACTCAGATGTGTAGAGGGAAAATGATTTTTCCTCCCCTACAATACATTCGTACTAACGACTAAAGTCATGAAGAAAGGGTGAGAGGCTCTCTAGCTTCCAACATAAAGAGTCTCTGTGATGTGTTGTTAAAGTGAAATAGAAGTGTATAACCTGTATGCTGTGCGCTACTAGTTAATACAAACAATAGGAGATCTCTGCAAATATTTGTTTGTAAATGCCTAGAAGAGTTCTGAGAAGATACACAAGATTGGGTAACATTAGCTGCCCCTAGGGAGAGAAAAGGAATGCCTGGGGGGCAGGAGCCGGAGGGAGAACTTCCTCCCACATCCTTTTGCACCTTTGGAGTTTTGAATCATGTGATAATATTACATATTAAAGAAAATTTTAAATTTAAAAAGTTAGTCCAAAAACAAATATTAAACATATAATGGGCAAACTATAAAGACTGTAAAACACTCCTAAATTTATAAATTCAGTCAAGAAAATTCCTTAAAATACACCCGGTTTCCAATGGTCAGTGCTGAGCCCAGCACTAAGCCTTCCTGTAGGCATCACCCTTTCCCTGTAGGGTACCAAGGACAAGCTAAAGGGAATAAACATACTGAAGATTTTCTTTCTCTAATGTGATTCAGACTAGCAGTCTTCCACTGAAGTTATCTGCATTTCTTTTGTTTTCTTTTTGTTCAGAGGCACATTTATTGTGGATGAATACCACAAGCCACAGCCATATAATTATCAGAAAGTAACAATACAATTAAGGAACTTTCTGGACATGAAACTAGTTATGAAAACCTTACATTTAGACAGATGTCCTACTGCTTATTCAAAAAAGCTGACTTTCACCGTCTTTACCTCATAATGAAAAAGTTTTCATTATGAAAACCAGGAGACACAAAATCATTCTGAGATTTCAGACATCTTAGAATTATTAGGTAAATTTCAAAGCTATGAGGTCATCAGAAGAGCCAATAGCACTATTTTCATGCTGAAAATTGCCATTAGAATGTAATGTGTTTCTTCTTTTCAGTTTGGGGTCCAGTGTGGGATTTTGTCCATGTTCTACTACACAGTAAGCATCCCCAAGAGCCCACAGAGACCTCACTAAAAGCAAAACCATCTGTTTCTGTTAATTAATATACGACCTGGAAACCAGCTGAAGGACTCCCGCCCCAAACACAGAGCCCACCGTCTGCCCAGGGTCCTGGGTCCGGTGCCCAGAGAAGCTGCCCCTCGTGCCTGCTCTCCTCCGCTTCCCCCCGCCCCATCCAGGTTTCATTCTGTCACATCACTAACTAATTTGGAAAAACGAGAGTGGTTTGTCCTATAACCAAGTCTTGCCTAACCTGGCTCTCACCACCGTGCTCCTCATCAAAGAAACCCAAGTGACGGAGGAAGGTCAATCGTGCTGCCCGGCTCACTTACTTTCAGATCTATTCACTGAATTCTTCGCAGTCATACAAACGGATAGGAACACTCTTTACGTCCTGATATGGAACAGCCTCTGTGGTGTTACAGGACGGCCAATATTTACAAATAAGACATTTCGTTTCATGTTTTATCTTAACTCTCTACTTGAACGTTGTATTCTATTGTATATGTTTATTTTTTTATTGATTTGAGAGAGAGAGAGAGGAAGGGACAGAGAAACATCGATTTGCTGTCCACTTATTTATGCATCCATTGGTTGATTCTTGTGTGTGCCCTGACTGGGGATGGAGCCCACAACCTTGACGTATTGGGACGGTGATCTAACCAGCTGAGCTACCTGGCCAGGTATATGTTTATTTTTTAAAAAAAGAAAAGAAATGCCACCTCCACACCTCACCTGTGCCCCTCACCCCCAGTCATGTAAAGCTGACAGCCCAGAAGACACGGTGAGAGTATGCTGTGGCTCCCAGCGGCCCTGCCGGCGTTGTCCTTGCCCCTCGTGGCGCCGTTTGAGAAACAGCCTATGGCGAACAGGGGTCTCACTCCATGTTCTGCCAACTGTCGCTCAACAGCGTATTCTTCCTCCATGGTCTGCCAGGCTCTTGCTCTTGTCTATACACAGACCCCCTTTCCGGGGAACCCCTGTCATTCCCTACAGCAGCCCCCCTAAGACTTCAGAACCCACAATTCTGCTGCGAACAGAACCAGAACCCTTTCTCATGGCCCCTGGCAATCTGCATCTCTCAAAAACTTCCCTACAGGTTTTGCCTGTGGGAGGAAGATCCTCCTCCTCGCCCGCTCTGGTTTGCCTTAAATTTCTATTTCATCACCAAGCATTTATTTCCTCTGCAAGTAACACAAGCGCCTCTTCCTCAGCTCTTGCTCCTGAAACCCTCCAGGGAAGAGGAGCCTCTCTGCCGTCTCCCGTTATGTTCCCATCGAATCCTTGCCCTTCTCCGTGGAGAGACTGGCGCGGCTGCCATGCAGAGTATTCTGAAATAGTTCCCCGTTCTCCCTGTCTTGCTCCTTTATTTCCCCTCCTGAGACCACACTCACTGTCCTCAGATCTTCCTGAAGCCGTAGAGCCCTAAGCTCAACCCCGGGGAATCTTCGTGCGCCCCCATCGATCCATTCCATTGGAATCCCGGGGACTGGCGAGGCGAGGGCTGCTGTGGGTGTCTGCAGGACTTGGCCCTAGTTTCACCAGGATTCCTCGCTGCCTGGTCTTCTGGTCTTGCTTTCCACCTGTCAAAGTCCTGTCATCTTCAGGAAGTCTGTTCAATGAGCTGTCTGTCCTGCTTCTCACGGAAGTCTTCGCGCTGTGTTGTTTGTTCTGTGGGCTGATGTAGAAACCCAAGGAGTCTGGGGACCCTGACAGTTAAACAAGAAGCTGGCCTGCTTGTTGGGTTGGGACTAGGGTGAGATGAGTGAAGCAAGATTTGTGGTGAGTTATGCAAGTTCAGGGTCTTTTATTTAAAATTCTATCATTATTTAAAATTTTGATATTTTGTTTGTCATGAATTTTTGCATGTTAATCCTGACTTTTTACAATATTGCATTATACTATTATTCGTCTTGATTACTAAATTTTTTGACGCTCCTTTAAATTTCATGCTTGCCCGGCCGGGCGTGGCTCAGCGGTTGAGCGTCGACCTAGGATCCAGGCGATCGGGGTTCGATTCCCGGTCAGGGCACATGCCTGGTTGCGGGCTTGATCAATGACTCTCTCATCATTGATGTTTCTATCTCTCTCTCTCCCTCTCTTTTCCTCTCTCTGAAATCAATAAAGATATATTTAAAAAAATAAAATAAATAAAATAAATTTCATGCTTGAGGTGAATGTCTAACTTTTCTTACCCTAGTCTGGGCCCTTCTCTTGGGTCTGTCTCGGTCAAGGCCGGTCACCCAGGACCTCAAGCTTGGCTTAATGCTCCACTGTCTTGAAATTCTTAGTAGTTTTTGAACAAAGGCCCCATATTTTCATTTTGCAGTGGACCCCACAAATTATGTAACTAGCCCTGATCAGCAAAGTAAATTTAAAATCAAATGGAGAATCAAGCCTTGTGTTTTCCTTCTCTCCAGGGAAAATTGCACTTGTAGCTTTCGGCCTGCAGCTTTCTTGGTTCATTCTGTCATTCATTCCATTTAAACCAACTACAACCGGGCTCTGTGCTCACAGTGCTTCCTGGCGTTGCCTTCCAGCCGGAACACTGGCCTTTGGGCTGCTTTGTGGGGAGAGAAAGCTCACTGCTTCCCTCTGGAACTACGGCTGGGAGACTGGCTTGGTTCTGTGATTCATCAGAAATAAGAAAAACAAACACTGTAAATGGAGAACTTGAAAAACAGGTGGGCACCATCTCCCCACCCAAGAGATTGGATTTAAAAGGAAATTTGTTTATGGGATGAGGTTTTAAAAGGCAACCTGGAGAATTTAGCAAAGATGTAAATAAACAACTCGTCCTTGGATTGCATTAGGCTGCAGAATAAATATATTAACCAGGTTCAGTCAAAGTCTGCCTTGAATCTGACCTTGACAAGACCCAGTGGCCAGTGCTGTCACCATCCCTCCCCCAAACACCAGGCAGTGTTCTCTAAGGCTAGGCTACCTCAAAACAGGCATCCCTGCTTCCCTCCCACGAAGTGAAGGTAAGCAGAGGCCTATCGGGTTTCCTCCGAGGCTGCCTCCTTGACAGCACCCCTGGAAAGCCTGCGGGCAGTCAGGAGACACCAGCCTTGTTTTTATATGGTACAGTCATCTATGGATACAAACACACATCTATTACCCACCAGGGGTACTGAACTGCTGTGTCGGCTGCAAACAGCCCAGGTCTGTGGTCAATTCCCATTATGGGCAGAAACAAGCTGATGCATTTAACCCAGGCCACCAAGGAATGTGTAGGACCCCGCAGGCAACCTAGAGCTGGTGGAAAGAAAAGGGATGTGCTCAGAGCCCTCCTCCTGGGTTGTCAGCATCCCTGCTGGGGGAAGGGATTTTGGATTTTTCCCATCCTCACATCTTCCTCTTCCTTTGTCTGTAACCCATCCTGCCCCCATCCTCCTCTATGAGAATTTATGAGGTATTTCCAGCATGGTTGAAATTATTATTTCACATATTTAAATACCTTACGACATAGACCACACAAGAAACACAGCCTATACCAAGGCAATTAAAGTATTACTGAAAGGTGGTTAAGTATAGCCTTTCATAGTACTTGGATGAAATTTTAAGAATAAAAAAAAAACAAAAAAAACAACAACTCTTGCCTTCCCCATCTTTGGCAGACTAACTCAATTGCATTTAAAAATCATTCTTGGCACTGAGGGCCTCCCACCAGCCTCCTTACCTTCTCTAGCTCCTGTGCTCCTCACCTCTCCCAGCCCACACCACGATGAAGGCCTTGTCCTCTCTACCTGGTCCTTCCTGACTGTGACTTTCCCCTTGATGCTCCACACATCGACATTGACTCAGACACAGACATTTTCAGTGACTCAGAGTTGCAGACCGAATGAAAGTCAACCACTAACCCGGGGTCAACCATGGCCCTAGACCTTGCTGGTGGTGTAGAGCTGACAACTGATGTTTACTTGGAGGATGCACAGGCTTTGCAATTGCCTACTGATGTGGAATCTAACACCGCAGCTTTGTGGAAGAAGCCACTGAGGAGGCCACAGTGAGTGTCGCTGGTGATTATTTGGAAGAGCCCATGACTAGAGCACCAGATGAGCCTAGTACCTCCACGGAAAGTGACAAGTTCATCTCAGCACTTGCTTAAAATGAGGCAGATTCTCTATTGGCTGTGAACTTTATTCTGCTAACCACAACTTTCTAAGGAGATTCTGAGCTTCTGAACAAGCCAATTCCATTATAAGAGTTTGAATAATTGTAAAAGACTAGTGAGCCATAGGATGCACCCAGCTGAGGGTAAACACAGTGGAGAGAATTGTCCACAGACAGAGGGAGTGCATTACTTAATCATTTCTCATTTAATATGGAGTTAATAAATATTCGTTTAAAATGAAAAAAAAAATTCTTGATTTTTCTGAAAAGAGATTCTAAATCATATATGAGTTAGTAAGTACTGGGGCAGGCAACATTCATTCTATAATAAATTCTTTTGTGAGGGTTGAGAGGGGAGGAATTTTTAAAAATGAGGTTCTTCACTCAGCCGGCATGGCTCAGCGATTAAGCATTGACCTATGATCCCGGAGATCACAGTTTGATTCCCGGTAAGGGCACATGACTGGGTTGGGGGCTAGATCTCCAGTAGGGGGTGTGCAGGAAGCAGCCGATCAATGACTCGTCATTGATGTTTCTCTCTCTCTCTCCCTTCTGCTCTCTGAAATCAATAAAGACATATTTAAATAAATAAATAAAAATAAAATAAAATAAAAAATGAGGTTCTTCTTTGAGGAAATCATTATGCTAGATGCAGTGGATGAAAAAGGGTTACAGCTTACTAAATTTTTTTATTTAGTTAATGATTGGAGATGGCAATTTTTTTTTTTAATAGAAATGCTGGAACTGAGGGGGGCATAGTTAAATATACATTGCAGGCTCCTTCATCAATGACTTCTGAAAATTAAGAACCAAATGTTCACAACCAACACTTCAAACTGTTTGATTTGGTTTAAGGGGAACTTTGTACTGAAAAGCTGGTGAAGTGTTAGAGTCATAAGTTGGTGGTGTTCCCTAGCTATTTCTTAGCCTTAAGTCTTTTACTTCCTTTTAAGAAAGTAAACAATGTGCCTTGTTTGCAAGTTTATTTTAGCCTACTGAGGTGTGGCCAAGATGGAGCTACCATGCTGGATTTTAAGAGGGTTAAATTAAAATGACCAAAACAAATGAAAAAGTAGATCTGGGGAATAAGAGATGTTAGTGATAAGAGCTGCGCTCTCCCAGGCTTTTAGATTGTGTAGCAAAATAAACAAGTGGCAGGAAGTCAGGCACCTGAAATTCCAGCATGGTCTTCCCCATATTTGACTCCAACATGTAGTGATAGGCTCCAATGCTGGTGCTGGGGTCATCTGCATCATCCAAAGTGCCCTTGGGAAGGAAGCAGAAAAGGGAAACATTATGGACTTTCCCTCCTCTTCTTTGGGTGATCACAAATTAATGCTGTGGCCCCAGTGATCCTTCTATTGTCCTAACCCTTCAGGTGTGCATTCTCCAGTCGACTTGGGATAAAATCCTTAATCTCACCATGACTTGGAGGAAAGAGCATGTTGTAATCAATTTGAATCTGGCATTTGATTAGAATGTTAACTGATTATATACTCATTAAAAGAATAATTATCCCAAAGCAGAAATTCCTGTGTCCTTGCACAGAGTACTGTCGATGGTGGCATTAATGTTTGAGTGGTTGCCCACTGAGGCTGCCTTCATGTGTTATTGAGATCTTGAAATGATGACCTTGCTCTGATTCTAATGATAACCAGGCAAGATTATATAACTGACAGGGAAAGAATGCTCCTGTTGTATGGACCATTCATATTTTACTGCCATGATTCTTAATGGGAGCTTTTCATAATATGCTGGTGTTCGTTCGGTCTGGAGACATGGATCTTGGTTTACATTTTTTCACTTCCGGATCACTTAATCTTTAGCAAACAAGGTGGGTGGGTGATGGGTTGAAATGAAATTCGCCTTCAATTTGGTTAGGGGGAGTGGCAATATAAAAGCTAACATAAGCTCTGAGGCCTGCCCTTCAAAGTCTCCTGGTCTTGGGTTCCTGAGAAGGTGGGCAATGGCTCTGTGAGACTGAACATGCGACTGCCAGCATCAGATAGCAGCAAAATTTATAGCCTTTGAATGCAATAACATTAACACACTGCTGCTGAAATATTTATGTTGGCTTTTTAAATATCCCAGAGGAAATCCATCCAGAAGCCCTGCAAATCTTATATATTTTCTTTCCTTAGAAATTTCCATGAAAAATATGATAAATTACATTTACACTGAAGGCCCCTCCCTGCTCCTGAGTAAGTTCCACACATAGAAATCAGGCATCATTCTCCTGACTTCTCTTCCTCAAAGGCATTTGACATTTGCACGAGCAAAACAAAGCTTCCATTCATCCTCAGCAGATACGGAGCAGAGCCCCTCACGTCTCCAAGCCAGGTCAACCACTCTCTGCGCTTCCTTATCTCTCCTCTGGGTGACAAGAGCGTTTACGAAGGGAAAGCAAAGGAAAAAAAAGGTCACTGCTAATGTGATAATGTGCCCTTCGTTATCAACAGCTTCTCCAGAACCACCGAACCTTTACAATCTGATTAAGGGAATCAGAGAATGAAAATCTCAGATGGGGTTTACCCCTGCTGAAGACAAGCCAGGGGCCGACTAGTCCCCTTTGGTAATGCCAAGTTCTTGCCCTTAGAGGACATAAAGGAGACACCTGCCATAGTGGGGATCCAAGGCTTCCTCCATGGTTTATAGTTTGATGGTAAAGGGGATCAGGAGCTCCAAATAATTCATGGGCAAATCATCTCCTGGACTGCAGAGAAAGCGTCGTCTCTAAGACAAAGTTTTTTGCTCTTAAAGCACTTTGCTTTAGTTATATCCATTACAAAAATTTTCAAAACCCTCTGAGAGAAGCAATTGATTAAGCATGACAATTCAATAGTTAACAAATATTGGGCATACAGCTTTTCCCATATCTGAGCAGTTAGCATTTCTGTAAAAACACAGATTGCAGCACCCCATGGGGGTTTGGGGAATAGGCACTTTTAATAAGCACTTTAGATAATTTGTAAGATTAGTTAAATTTAGGGGGAAATGAGCTAGTTTATCTCTAGATTAAAGCAGTATTCAATTGCATGTGGTCTCAGGCCCTAAAAAAAATGGTTCTCAAACAGCAAACATTCAAATAAACAAATCAAGGTGGATCAAATTGTCTACCTTGACTTAAAGCTTGATTAATTGTGACCCAGGGAGATTGATGAATATTACTGAGATGAAGAATAGGGAATCAGCTCCAATTTTGTAATTTCCAACCCAAGTGTTCTTTTTGCTAAAAATTGATGATTTAATGAGTAAAAATTAAATCTGCACAATTCTTAAAGAATGTGCTCACAGTAGCATCTCTCAAGATTCAAATGCCTCAGCACTTTAACAGCGGCCAGCTCTTCCCTTCCCTCGTGGGCACTCACGCTGGTGGAGGCAACTGCTTCCTGCACGCTCTCCATAATGAATTCCTTGGTGATCCTTCGAGAGGGCAGCTCATTGAACAGGGAGTTGATTAGGGCCACTTTAGCTGCATCCCGTCTGGCCTCAGCTCTACTTAAGCAGCACTTGAGAAGGAAAAGAGAAGGGGAGTCATTAAAGGATTTAGCATTTCACCATTTTGTCCCTACCTCAATGAGTCTCTAAACATTTCTATTCATACATTTACTGTCTGTACCTCTTTCACACCCATTGCTAATTCCCTGAAGATAATACAGATTCTCTTTCAGCCCTAGATTCCATGCAAATGTCTTGGTTGGTCTTCAAATGCTTTTTGTCTTATTTCATAGTCAGTGAATAGCTACTATGCACCAGAGGCTTTGCATACTCTGCTAATAAATAATCACAAAAGTCATAACGGCTACTTCTGTGTGCCAGGTGATTACATTCATTATCAGAGCCTTCCTCAAATCTTTATTTCAGAGAAAAAAATGTAAGGAAAAAAGGAAACTGGAAAATCATCTGGGATCAGGCTGCTTGGCTTCAGATCCCATCTCTTACTTGTTGTAAAAGCTTGGGCAAATTAGCCTGTCTGTGACTCAAGTCCCCCCTCTGTCACTGGGAATAATAGCAGTCCCTGTGGAATAGTGAGGTTTGAGGATGGCCTCAACTAGTTGTTCTAGACAAAGCAGTGAGACTACCTTACACATGGTAACATGATGAGAACATTCCAGTCTTATTCTTTTTACCTCCAGGTTAGGACAAGGGCGTTGCTGCCAAAATCTATTGTTTTTGCTTTTCCAGGATTTATCTCCCACCCTCCTTCTCATAACAGTTCCCTGATTTTCTCCAGGACCACCCTTTCCACCGTGGTTTCAGTCCACACGGCTTGGGTGGGACACGCTCCATTTGGCCTTCCTGAAGTTAGGGGCCATATGCAGCCTATGATTAGTATCTCATTAAAAAAATTCATTTCTCCCAAATGGAATACTGCTCTCCTTCCCAGCCTGGCTTTCCCAGGGCTCACTCGAATCTGCTCACCTGATTCTTTTCTGTTCTCTCCGTCTTTTGCCTTGTCAACGACAACTCTTATTCCAGTTCTGGCTTGGCATGGGCCATGAAAGCCCAGAGGAGAGAGATGAAGCCCTATGAGAACTGCACTGTCCCAGAGCCCACTCCTGCTGAGGACCCCAGAATGTGATGGCCTCTCTCCCTCGGCTCCTGTGAACTGTCCAGGGTCCTAGACCCTACTCCAAGACTCCTAGAGGGAAATAAGTCAGGAAGGGGAGCCTAGGCCCAGGTCCTGGTCAACAGGGTGGCCACACACCCCTGGCTCTGCTACTCAGTGACTGTGAGACCTGGGATACCTGAACTTTGGGGCTTATTTCCTCACTGGATAAATGGGGAGGGTAGCCTCTCTGATTTTGAAGGCTCCTGATACCTAAAATGCATGATTCTCAGGATCGGTAGTGCTTGGTGACTGATGGGAAAGAACAGGGAAAATACCAGAGGTCCCACTTCATGTTGCAGTTTTGCAGCCTCAGTGGCTTGGTAACACCCCTGGGAAAAAGCCAAACCCCTACAGTTTGCTTTCAGTACATGGCTGTCTCTTCCTCATCTGCCCAACACTGACCATCCCTGCACTGACCGAGGAACACCAAACTCACACTATTGTGTCATCCAGAAGCCTCTCCTCTCCTCTCCTCTCCTCTCCTC